CTCAACCTGTGGGTCCCCAGGTGTTTTGGCCTACAACTCACAGAAATCCCAGCCAGTTCATCAGCTGTTAGGATTTCTGGGAGTTGAAGGCCAAAACATCTGTGGACCCACAGGTTGAGAACCACTGAGTTAAGAGTGTATAATAGACAAAATACACACAGCTTCAACATGTGCATGCTATTTAATTAAGTGTGCCAATGAACATGCTAAATACTAGAGCTTGTAGTCATAACAAAAAGCAGAATAGTAGAAACCCAAAACAGGAAACATGTATACAGCTAAACTGCAGAATTCTCTATTATAAATTGCAAATGCCGACCTCAGAGATTACTTTAAAAGGGTTACACATATTAATGAAACATAAAACTATCAACAGCTAATGGCAACAATATGTTCACTCTAGGAATAGACATGTTGCCTCCTAGAGCTAGTACATATTGTTGCCAAGATATCTAGCAAGACAAGTGAGATTAAAGTTTTCTTTAAAGTACCTTCTATACCAGGGTCCCTTCCACACAGGTGAATAAAATCCCACATTTTCTGTTTTGAACTGGAATATATGGCAGTGTAGACTCTGATAACCCAGGGCACTTCCACATAGCCATATTATCCAGAATATCAAGTCAGATAATCCACAATATCTTATCTGAGTCCACACTGCCATATAACCCGTTCAAAGTAGATAATGTGGGATTTTATGTAGCTGTGTGGAAAGGGCCCCAGTTCAAAGCACTTTACCCTTTGCCCTACAATCTGCTTGTTGCAAGAGTCCACGCCCAGCCCTATCTAGCCTGATCATGCTTATCATATTCCTGGTTACTGGTTATTCAGTTGGTTTGATATGGTTTTTAATGCTTTTTTATACTTTGATGTTTTTAATTGTTATAAGTGGACCGTTGCATGTTATTATGTCTCTAACTGCATTTTGTTTTATGTCCTGGGCATGGTCCCACTTGTAAGCCGCTCCGAGTCCCTTCAGGGAGATGGTGGCAGGGTATAAAAATAAAGTTATTATTATTAATATTATGGCATTTTCTGCCTTGATATATATGGCTGTGTGGAAAGGCAGGCCCCGGGAGCATATCTGCAACATCTGCAATATCTAGATACACAAGTATTTTATGAATCCCTAATATCCAGTGCTGAATCAGTATCAATCACTAGATTTGAAAGATACCTGATTTCAGCTTGGTATTCCTCCAAATCTAGGAGTTCATCTAAACAGGAGAGGCACATGCAAGTAAAAGACAAACAGGCAAGGAGCTGCCATACTCATGTTCACCAACCACAATGAAGCTATCTAATATGTCTACTTTTCTTCGTTTTTTTCAATATTGCTTTGCTTTGAAGGACAGCCTCCACAATGTAGGTTACACAATAAAATTAAAAACATTAAAAATCCAAAATTTAAAGTAACAATAGCAGTGTAACAGTAAAATAATATAAACTACTTTAAATCAATAAAATGCAGCCTAGAACAAATAAGTGTTTAAAGTTAATTTAAAATTGGACACCAAGCTATAGTATTTATTTTCTAATCTTTCTGCAATTTCACTTCTCAATTGGCTCTAAGGCAAATGACCTTGTAAAACTACTATTCCTATGCAGATTACTGCCGCTTCTCAATTAGCTCTCAATTTTATACAACTACTGAACTGTATTGTCCTTTACAGGTAAATAACTATGCTCCTTTGTTTAAGATTAACAGAGAAAAGAAGCTAGTCTAGAACATACTCTGCCACTTTATTTTTCATGTGTTTTCTTGCTGAAGTAAAGTCACCCACATCTTCTCCTGTCTATTCCTCCAACCAGGAAGACAACTTCGTAATGTGGCCTTAATTCAAACTATCATGGTGGTTATAAGCCTCTATTGTATGTCTCAATTTTAGTATAGGAAATATAGCCCTCTTTGCTTAAAAGATAGCCTCCACAATGTCTTTGCTTAAAGGATAGCCTCCACAATGTCTTTGCTTAAAGGATAGCCTCCACAATGTAGGTTACACAATAAAAGTTGAAACATTAAAAATCCAAAGTTATTGTATTGAGTTTTTTATTCCAATTTACTAGCATATTTCTTCCTTAAACATTTTTGCTACTTGCGTGAAATTTGGTATTCAAGGTACCATCTTTTAATACAGCTTACAATACAAGTTCCCAAGATACTGTCAAGCATGTTTTTAAAAATATAGGTTAAGTCTAACTTCCTCCTTCGCTCAAAATCCAGAGGTTTAGAACCCAGATTAGGTTTGCCAAAGAATATGAAGGTTGAGTATCTCTTGCTCCAAATGATTGTGACCAAATGCTTTGGATTTCAGAATACAGTAGAGTAGGGGTCCTCAAACTAAGGCCCGAGGGCCAGATGCGGCCCTCCAAGGTCATTTATCCAGTCCTCGCTCAGGGTCAACCTAAGTCTGAAACGACTTGAAAGCACCCAACAATCCTATCTCATCAGCCAAAAGGAGGCCCACACTTCCCACTGAAATACTATTAAGTTTATATTTGTTAAAATTGTTCTTCATTTCAATTTTTGTATTGAAGTGTTATTTGCACTACAAATAAAATATGTGCAGTGTGCATAGGAATTCATTCATTTTTTTTTCAAATTATAATCCAGTCCTCCGGCAGTTTGAGAGACAGTGACCTGGCTCTCTGTTTAAAAGGTTTGTGGACCCCTGCAGTAGAGTCTCGCTTATCCAACATAAATGGGCTGACAGAACGCTGAATAAGCGAAAAAGTTGGATAATAAGGAGGGATTAAAGAAAAGCCTATTAAACGTCAAAGAAAACTGACCCAGTCCAGAACTTATATAAATCACTCACATGAGCATGCACATGATGTAACCCTATAAAATGGGATGGTGTGATATAATATACGGAAACTGCAACACTAGTAAAAAAAACTGCTTAGAGATTCTTGATCATGTTGTGGTTTTGTTATTCATATTTTGGTCCTCCAGGTGTTTTGAACTACAACTCCCACAATTCCTAACAGCCTAACAACTGTTAGGAATTGTGGGAGTTGCAGTCCAAACACCCAGAGGGCCAAATTTTTTCCATGCCTGTTTTACAATGTGTTCAGCATACTCTATCTAAGGTCCTTTCCACACAGCTGAATAAAATCCCACATTATCTGCTTTGAACTGGTATATATGGCAGTGTGGACTCGGATAATCCAGTTCAAAGCAGATATTCTGGGTTATATAGCTATGTAGAAGGGTCCTAAGAGAGCTGGTGCTTCTCCAAACAACAAGCCTCATGATTGAGCCATAACCACTGAAGCTGAAATCTGCATCGGAATAGTAATTTTACAAGGTCTTTTGTCTTAGGGCCCTTCCACACAGCCCTATATCCTAGAATATAAGGGCAGAAACCCCTACAATATCTGCTTTGAACTGGATTATCCGAGTCCACACTGCCATATAATCCAGCTCAATGTGGATTTTATACATCTGTGTGGAAGGGGCCTGGGCCACACACACATCCCACAAACAAGAATCACTGGGGGCCTTTCTACACAGCTCTATATCCCAAAATATCAAGGCAGAAAATCCCACAATATCTGCTTTGAACTGGGGGCCCTTCCACACAGCTCTGTATCCCAGTATATCAAGGCAGAAAATCCCACATTATCTGAGTGTGGATTCAGATAATCCAGTTCAAAGCTGATGTGGAATTTTCTGCCCTTAATATTTTGGGTTATAAGGCTGTGTGGAAGGGCCCCCAGGTCAAAGCAGATCACGTGGGATTTTCTGCCTTGATATTCTAGGATATATGGCTGTGTGGAAGAGCCCCTAGATCAGTGGTTCTCAACCTGGGGTCCCCAGTTGTTTTAGGCCTACAACTTCCCGAAATCCCAGCCAATTTACCAGCTGTCAGGGTTTCTGGGAGTTAAAGGCCAAAAACATCAGGGGACCCCAGGTTGAGAACCACTGCCCTAGAGTCCACACTGCCATATATTCCATTTCAAAGCAGATAATGTGGGGGTTTTATTCATTTATTTAACAGTGGTGTTAAAGGAGATTCCATCTGAACATGAGGAAGAACTTCCTGACTGTGAGAGCCGTTCAGCAGTGGAACTCTAAGAGAGCTGGTGCCTCTGTAAACTACAAATCCCAGGACCGCACGGCACTAAGTGGTGTTAAAGGAGATTCCATCTGAACATGAGGAAGAACTTCCTGACTGTGAGAGCCGTTCAGCAGTGGAACTCTCTGAGGCGGAGTGCGGTGGAGGCTCCTTCTTTGGAGGTTTTTAAACAGAGGCTAGGTGGCCATCTATCAGGGGTGCTTTGAATGCAATATTCCTGCTTCTTGGCAGGGGGTTGGACTGGATGGCCCATGAGGTCTCGTCCAACTATGATTCTATGACCCAGCTGGTTCCTGGTCTGAGGCATTACATACTTTATTCTATGATAACTGCCTGGCCACGCAGGAGCCACTCTTCCTTCTCTCTGAGTGGTGAGAGAAACCAATACTGGTTCTAATAATTCGAAAATGAAAGGCGAGGCCGCTGAGAGCGACCTCAGCCTTCCTAAAGCGTTGGTCCTGGGCTCCACATATAGGAAGGGGGGAGGGGAGCGCGAGGAAGGCGCCCGCTTTCTCTTTCTCCCGCGAGGCGAGACCAGGGCGGCCATTTTGTCCCCGCGGCGGCAACAGCAGCAGCAAAGGAGGAGGAGGCGGCGGCGCGCGCTGCTTCGGGTCACTAGCCCAAGATGGCGCCGGCCGAGGATCTCACCGCAGAGTGAACTCCACGTCAGAACCAAACGGCGGGCTTTCGCTTCCCCCCCCCCCTCGCGCGCGCCAAACCCACCCGACTCCCTCTGGACGTCCAAACACACCCCCCCCCCACAGACCTCCATCTTTGGCCCTTTTCCCCCCTTGTATCCTTCTTCTTCCCCCTCAGAAAAAAGAGGGGGGGGTCATTTTAAATAAATATATATCTATCTAACGGCCTATTTTGCTTGTGTTTTATTTTTTCCCCTTCCGCTTGGCGCCTCCGTATTACCCGCTCGCCGTAGTTCTGCTCCCCGCTGTCACTCATGTCTCCCGCCTCAGAGCTCGGGACGCCGACCGCGGTTGCTAACACCGAACCGTCCCTTCGCCAGGCAGCCTTCTCCGCAGAGGAAGTGACGCAGCCCGAGGAGGCCCCGCCCCCTTGCGCGCGAACGTGACGTCACTGCTCTCCCCCCCCCCCGCCTCGCGCTGGATAGAGGCACGTGCTGGCCTTCGAAGCCTCCAGAAACGCTTTCTTGTATTGTCGAAGGTTTTCATGGCTGGAATCACTGGGTTGTTGTAGGTTTTTTTCGGGCTGTATGGTCATGTTCTACAGGCATTCTCTCCTTACGTTTCGCCTGCATCTATGGCAAGCATCCTCAGAGGTAGTGAGGTCTGTTGGAACTAGGAAAAATGGGTTTATATATCTGTGGAAACCAGGGTGGGACAAAGGACTCTTGTCTGCTGGAGCTAGGTGTGAATGTTTTAACTGACCACCTTGATTAGCATTTGATGGCCTGGCAGTGCCTGGGGCAATCTTTTGTTGAGAGTTGATTGTTGTTCATTCGTTCAGTCGTCTCTGACTCTTCGTGACCTCATGGACGAGCCCACGCCAGAGCTCCCTGTCAGCCATCACCAACCCCAGCTCCTTCAAGGTCGTTCCAGTCACTTCAAGGATGCCATCCATCCATCTTGCCCTTGGTCGGCCCCTCTTCCTTTTACCTTCCACTTTCCCCAGCATAATTGTTAATGTTTCTTCCAGCAATTTTCAATTTGATTAGATGTCCCAGATTATTTCCTCTCTGTTGTTTTGCTGTTGAAAGTCTGGAACGACTTGAAAGCATACAATACCAACAACAATCCTATCTCATCAGCCAAAAGCAGGCCCACACTTCCCATTGAAATACTAATAAGTTTATATTGGTTAAAATTGTTCTTCGTTTTAATTATTGTATTGTTTTAAAGTGGTTTTTTTGCATTACAAATAAGATATGTGCAGTGTGCATAGGAATTCATTCGTGTTTTTTTCAAATTATAATCCGGCCCTCCAACAGTTTGAGGGACTGTGACCTGGCCCTCTGTTTAAAAAGTTTGAGGACCCCATGGACTAAGGCCTTGGACATATGAGAGACAAAGACTTGATCAACACTACCTTATTTAGGTGATCCCTCATTGTCAGAGTAGGATAGTCTTCCAAGGTCAGTGTACTGGTGGGTCTGTAGGTGGCTGTGGAGCCCTATTCTTGATCTGCATCTTCTCCCTCAGTGAGGGCACTGGTTTCCAGGTGTAAGGCAGTCTCTTGGCACATTTCTCTCTTTCGCCCTCCATTCGTGCCTCTTCAAATTCTACAGCACTGCTGGTTACAGCTGACCTCCAGCTGGAGTGCTCAAGGGCCAGGGCTTCCCAGTTCTCAGTGTCTATGCCAGAGTTTTTAAGGTTGGCTTTGAGCACATCTTTAAATCTCTTTTCCTGTCCACCCACATTCCGATTTCCGTTCTTGAGTTCGGAGTAGAGCAACTGCTTTGGGAGACAGTGGTTGGACATCCAGACAACGTGGCCAGTCCAGCGGAGTTGATTGTGGGGGAGCATCAAATTAACTAATTTATGAGGCCATAAAAAAAGACTCCAGCAAAGCACTCCAGCAAAAGCATGCGGGGAATGCGGAAGTATTTCATCAGTGTCGCAGATGGACGATGAAAGTGACAGCTCCCCTGGCGGCCAGAAAAAGTTAAATAGCCTCTGTGTATGTCTGTATACGTTGTATGTCAAATTGGCATTGAATGTTTGCCATATATGTGCACATTGTAATCCGCCCTGAGTCCCTTGTCGGGTGAGAAGGGCGGAATATAAATACTGTAAGTAAGTAAGTTGTTGTAACCTTGGTTCTGGCTTTTAGCCTGCTGAGGTTAAATAGCTTGCCATCTCTCTGGAAGGACTAAGGCCTTGGACATATGAGAGACAAAGGCTTGATCTACATTACCATATTGAAGGGAACAAAGAGCCTGATTGCATTTGATTAGTGAACAATAGCAAGAACATGTAGAATAGGTTTGATTAAATAACTAGACTTAGTCTTTAGCATTAGAAGGAATTCAGCCTTAAGTGAAACACATAATAAATACCAGTTGAAAGAAGAGAAAACAGAGCCATAAAACACCCATCACTTTCTTTAGAGATGCAAAACGAAACAGTTGAAGGCCTGGAATGTCAAACCAAGGAACTCACAAGGCGATAAACTCAAGAAAAGAGGTTTTCAAGAAGGTCAAGGAGGACTTCGTTGAAGTCCTTACTGAAATCAAAATATGTGGCATCCACAGCATTTCCTGCATCTACTAAGCTTGTAACTATATTGAAAAAAGAGATAAGATGTGTCTGGCATGACTTGTTTTTGACAAATCCATGTTAGCTAGTAATCACAGCATTCCTTTCTAAGTGATTGCAGACTATCTCCTTCATGATCTATTTCAGGATCTTTCCTAGTATTAATGTCAGGCTGACTAGATGGTAACTGTTTGGATCCTCTTTTTTCCCATCTTGAAGATGGGGATCTGCCCTCCTCCTATCTGCTTGGACTTCTCCTGTTCTCCAAGCATTCTCAAAGATTATTTCCAGTTGTTTTGAAATGACTTCTGCTAGTTCCTTCAAAACTCTTGGATGTAGTTCAACTGGCCCTAGAGACTTGAATTCGTTTAGAGTAGCCAGGTATTCCTGGACTACTTATTTACCTATTTTGGGTTGCATTTCCTCTATTACCTCGTCCGCTCCATATTGCTCAGATTGAACACCAATCTCTTTTTGGGAGAAGACCGAGGCAAAGAAGGTGTTGAGCAGTTCTGCCTTTTCCCTATCCCCTGTTAGCATTTCACCACTTTCTCCATGCAGAGGACCTACCAAAGAACCCTTTTAAATTGTTTTTAATCTCTCTGGCAAGCCTGAGCTCATTTTACGCCTTAACTTCACAAAACATTTCTCTACATATGTTGGTTATTTGAATTTCTCTTTGGTGATTTCCTCCTTTTTCCATTTTTTGTGCATGTCTCTTTTAAATCTTAGCTTTGTTAAAAGTTCTTTGGACACCCATTCTGGTTGTTTTACATTTCTCCTTTTTTTCTTCTTCTTGCTGGCACTGTTTGCAATTGTGCTTTCAGTATCTCACTTTTAAGAAACTCTCACTCGTCACTGACTCCCTTATCTTTTAGTATTCTTGTCCATGGAATCACACTCAGTATTTCCTTAAATTTCGTGTAGTCTGTGCACATTCAGAAGAAGACCTACAAGCCACTCTAAACACCTTTGCCAAAGCATACGAGAAGTTCGGCCTCTCATTGAACATTAAGAAAACTGGAGTGCTCTTCCAGCATTCACCAGCCAATACCTCTGCAATGCCAGAAATACAGCTTAATGGTGTAACATTATAAAATGTTGACAATTTCCGCTACCTTGGCAGCCACCTCTCCACAAAAGTCAATATTGACACTGAATTACAACACCGCCTGAGCTCTGCAAGTGCAGCATTTTTTCTAATGAAGCAGAGAGTGTTTGAGAATTGGGAGATCAAGGTGCTTGTTTATAAAGCTATTGTCTTCCCAACCCTGCTATATGCCTGCAAAACGTGGACTGTCTACAGACGTCACACTCAACTCCTGGAACAATTCCATCAGCATTGACTCTGAAAAATCCTCCAAATCTCCTGGGAAGACAGGCAGAAAAATGTAAATGTGCTGGAAGAAGCAAAGACCACCAGCATTGAAGCAATGCTCCTATGTCATCAACTCCGCTGGACTGGCCATGTTTGCCTGAATGTCGTCTCCCAAAGCAGTTACTATATCCCCAACTCAAGAACAGGAAACATAATGTTGGTGGACAGGAAAAGAGATTTAAAGATGGGCTTAAAGCCAGCCTTAAAAACTGTGGCATAGATATCGAGAATTGGGAAGCCCTGGCCCTTGAGTGCTCTAACTGAAGTTCAGCTGTGACCAGCAGTGCTGCAGAATTCGAAGAGGCATGAGTGGAGGGCGAAAGGGAGAAACATGCCAAGAGGAAGGCGTGTCAAGCCATCCCTGACTGGGACCACCTTCCACCTGAAAACCAATGTCTTCACTATGGGAGAATATATTGATCAACAATAGGGCTCCACAGCCACCTATGGATCTACCACCACGACACTACACATGGACGACCATCATCCTTGGGCTATGAGGGATCGCCTAAGTAAGTATTTTTAAGAAACTCCCATCCATTATTAACTCCCTTCTTTTTTTTAGTGTTTCTGTCCAAGGAATCACGCTCAATATTTCCTTTAATGTTGTGAATTTTGTAAAAACAACCGAAAGTTCTTGAATGCGTGGTTGACTTCTCTTAGTTTAATCTTTCCATTATATCACAAACTCCAGGGGCACATGGTCACTCCCACCTAAGGATCCCACCACTTTCACTCCATTGACCAGATCCTCAGTGTTGTTTAGGATCGGATCCAGAATAGCTGATCCCCTTATTGCCTCTTCTACCTTCTGAACAATAAAATTGTCAGAAAGGCAAGTGAGGAATTTGCTGAACTTTTTCTTGGCAAAGTTTGTTTTCCAACAAATATCAAAGTAATTGAAATCCCCAATTACCACTATGTACATAGTTGAGTAATTCACCCCCCACCTTATCTCCCAATCCATTGTGAAACGATTATAGAAATTAAAGGCAGGGGATTTGGGTGTGACCAGACGACATTCTAGAGACAGTTTACAACAATGATTAATGGGTTTTGTGGAGCTGCAGTTTCCATTTCATATTATGTTATATATTTCATAATTTGAGGGTCCAATTTCTCAATATCAGGAATATTAAAAAATAAATAATTAAATCATTAAAATCAATGCAAATCTCTTAAATTACAGAAAAAACTAATAAATATTTGCTTTAGGGGCTGATGCCAGTTTGCAACCTCTTAATGTCATACTCTTTGTGCATATTCCAACATTTCATTTTGTTTTAATATTTGTGTTTAATAGATTTTTAAATTAGCATTTTTAAGGTTGTGAGCATCTTTGGGTCTAGGTCCTGAGAAAAAAGACGGATATAAGTAACAATAACAACAATAGTAGATAATCACAACAGCAACAACAGCAACACTACTACTACTACTACTACTACTAACAACAACAACA